ATTCATTTTTCAATTTTTCCCTGGCAAATATCGTTTATTTCGTTTTAATCGCGCGTTTCAATCGAGTCACTCGATAATATTTTTTAAACGGGACACGGTTACGCAAATGCATAATGGTCAGAGAAAACTCTATCCTTTGATAATAAGTATATATTTCGTCGAGTCCCGACAAACGCGAGGTTTAATTATCGAATGGGCGTTTGCGGGACAGAAAGTTGGGAAAAATTGGCCAGAAGCGAAAAGTGGATGAATTGGTTTTGGAAATTGTAATTGCGTGGGTGGGCGGAAAGTTGGAAATTTGTTAATTAAGGTCGGCCCCCGTATTCCGTGTGCACGCGAAAGCTTTGCATTAGGCTCCGATCCCTCCATTGTAAATCTCGGAATAGAATAAAATAACTCGAAGTTAATCCTCTTAGCTACTTACAAGCACTAATTTCGTTTGAACTGCGATGCACAATGTTGTCGGTGTTGATTATAATTAATACAACTGGCATACGAATGGGAATGAATAATTATGAAATATCTTCGACGTCTAATGTTTATGAAAACGATTTTTCTATACAACAACAACAACAACATAAAATTTATACAACAACGTAAAACCACTTTTGCATACCACTCAGGTGTTAACCCTTTGCACTCGAGAGGCGCCTCTCAGTCACCGTTTAATCAGATTTTAAAGATGGATGTTAATTAATATATCAAATTTATAATTACCCAACGATGCGTGGAATATCGAAGTAAAATAATTGTACGTCTTAAATTGCATACGATTTCTTATTTATCGTTTTAAAAATATCTTATGGCAGAAAGTCTTCAAATTACTATTTCCTTGTAACGAAAAAATCGTCGAGTGCAAAGGATTAATAGAATGATTATTAATGTTAACAACACTTATCCTATCCTAGATCTACTCACCCAATCTCTTCATTCTATAAAACAGCTACTACATCGCACCCCTCTTTAAAAATTTTTTCTTTTCTTTATTTCCTATACTTATACACATCACGTTTGTTTTTATATATGTATTTATTTATTTTCATTTTTAATTGTTACCATTAATTTTTATACCTCACTGTAATAATTTTCTTGTCATTTTTCTAATAGGTTAATCCTGTATAAATAAATAAATTACGATATACAGTGTTGTCGGTGTTGATCATAATTAATACAATTGGCATCCGAATAGGAATGAATAATTATGAAATATCTTCGACGTGTAATGTTTATGAAAGCGATTTTTGCTGGAAACTATCTTCGAAAGGGAATAAAAAGTAGCCTGTTTTAATTACGAATGTATAATTTGCGGATTATCTACTCGCATGAATATGTAGCACTCGAAACTCCAAGAGTTTTTCAAATACGAAATGTAAACCGTGGCTGAAAAGAAAGTGATACTTTATGTAAGGACGAGCCTAAAGTAGACCGTAGCGTCTATTTATCAACAGCATAAATTAACGGGTATGAAAATTTATTCTTCGCGAAACGAGCACCGAGGATTAATTTTAAAAATAATTATTATTCGACTGAAAATCAATTTCTCTATTTCGCGATGATTAATTAGCTTCGTAGTTAATTAGTTAGTATTCATATTTGCTAATATCAACAATGGTCCGATTAAAACTAACATCACCAAATCTCCATGGTATATTTGTTTAAGACCATGGTATATTATACAATGTTATTGTATAGTTCTCTGGTAATCGATATATTGTTAGTGTAAATACAAACTTGCTCGATGATTCGAGGTAATATAACCGGATCGTAATTGTACCCTCTAATTGCAATTTAGATATCGAAAATCACAAATTTTCTACGATAATTTCAGACGAAAATGATTCCACGTTAGTGCAATGAAAATAAATGAAATACGAAATAAAGATAACTTCGTTTGCTTTAAATATTCTGACCTCGACCACTTTCGTAATTACCAACATAATTACATTAGTATTATCTCATCTCCCTTACGCGTTATTAAATATTATGTACAGAAATATCAGAGAAAGGAAAAACGACGGCGGAAAATAAGGGAAAAAATAATACGAGTGATTATTCGAGAGAAAGAAAATATGTGAAACAAGGGCTTCACTCGGAAGCTTGCTATCTGGTATGAATTAATCTCGAGGAATATTCGTCGAAAATATTACTACGTCAAACACGCGTGTATACGCTATTTCTTCGTGTCCCCGTGATTTATACTTGCATCGAATCATTGAGAAACGCGAGACTAATTATCATTTCCAGCAGAATATTTACACGAACGTCGAGAATGACACGATATCGCGGAGATACTCTTAATAATTTTCGAATCGACGTTACGCGAGTCCCGATATAAATTATATTCGTGTATATTCATCGTCGTTGGCCATTTTTGTTTGCGTTCAATCTCTGCAAACGTAGAACGATCGGACGTCGCATTAATCTTCGCGTTTGTACCGATGCAGTATTTATAATTTAACGAAGACTCGTTATGGCAGCGCCCTTCAAGCTCGCGCCATCATCCCAAACACCCCTAACCGAGTTAGTCTAAAGTGAGTCGCGTGTATTTTCTACGTCAAATCTAGCAAATTTTTCCGGATTTTGCAAGGTCAGATAATCTATGGGAGAACTTTGAAACTACCTCATTTCGTTCGATATTTCAAAATTGATGTAGAAATAGTAGGTTTGAGAGTGAATGCAGAGGAACCCTTGGGCCTGTCTAGCTGGTGGCGAGCAATAAACAGCAACCTAGGTGTTGCGGACTATGATCAGTTATTCTATTAATAAAGCTTATTTTGTTCTGTTAAGTATTGCAATATTATTCTAGTCGATCCCATCCAAATACGATCCTAAACACATGTGCCAATACCCCTGAAGAGGTTAATTTTGAATAACCTTAAATATACTTTGTTGCGACCCCAGGACCTAACGTCCATAGTTAAGTGGAGGACTGTTTATGTCCTTATTGCCAGCGTCCCTTGATTCCTATACACTCGTCGTCACCTAGTCACCACTTGGGTAAACCTTAGCAAGGACCAATATATCACCCTTAAGACGATAGGCATAAGGATCCAAATTATTTAAACTTCCACCATCACAGAAGGGATGTTGAGGACGTTGAAGCTATCACACACCCCGAATATTATTCATTACCAATAGGAAAACACACACACCATTTATATTTCACAAGAATCAATCGGTAGATAGACAAAACTTATAAAACCACCGAGACAGGAGTCACGAGGAGAGTTCTCCTAAAAATCTCACGAAAACAGGACAAGCATCACGACCAGACTATCAACCAGGACCTACTATCAATTCAACGCAGGAGACAGTAACACATCAGAACTTCAACCATAGTTCAACCATAACCAGGTCTAGCTCTGTTGATTTAGAGTAGGCCACATCTCAGCAACATTGTCGCATCTGTATAAACGGGTCTAGGGTTCAAGCTGAATGTTTAGAGCGACGTCTGAAGTGCTCGTGGAAGGACGAGTGACCGCGTGCAAGAATTGGATGAAAGGGATATTTATGACAGTATGGAATGCAAGTGAAGAGCGAAAGACGCCTGAGTGTTTAGGGTACGTAACCTACCGAGAGTGAGTCTATGGGAAATGCGTGATTGAGAAAGAAAGCTTGAGTATGAAAGAAGACAGAGTGTAATGTTAAATAGGGGTGCAAGGATGCGAGCAGGCCAGTTTAAATTCGGAAGTGAGTTTTAGAGTCAGTCTCAGAGTTTTGGGAGTCAGTCGTAGAAGTCAGTTTAAAGTCAGTCAGTCTAAACGTTGTCAGTTGCGTGTTAAAAATCAGTCTTAGAAGTCAGTTACAAGAAAGTTGTCAGAACGTGAGAGTAAAAGGTCGAGTGACATCGTGGTCAGTCAGGACAAGCGTTGCATAGCTACTATTCTATTATATTAATCCGTTATTCCATTAATAAAGCTTATTTTGTTCTGTTAAGTATTGCAATACTATCCTAGTCGATCCCTCCAAATAAATCCTAAATAAATATGCTACATTTAAGGTATAGATCGTAGCTCGGTAAATATAGCGTTAACCACTTACCCTACGATGAAATTCCGATGCCTCGTGCCATAGTAAACAGTCGGTCACACGTCGAGACACTTTGTCCTAACACGGCGAAGAATAACACGCAACTGACGAGTCTCGACTAGCTTCGACAGAAAAACATCAATGAAAATTAACGGTCACGTGTCGAATTTCGTCCGAACACGAAGAGGAATAACACGGAATTGAGACAGGAAGTCATCGACGAAAACAAAGCACGAGCCTGAACCGTGTTATGCACACTGGGTGAGAGTTCTATACAAGGTTTGAAAGAGAGTCGAGTCGGTGACGGTTCTTTATGGAGTTCGAAGAGTTGACGTGCGAGTACGAATTGCATTAGTCTAATCTTTTAGTTTGTACTGCACTCCTAAGTCTCTTTAGCTAATAAAAATATATTGGAATTAAATAACACCTTTATTCCTTGTATTCGCCAATCAAAGTATATTCTCTACGTACATCTGTGTCTGTGCTTTTTCAATACTCGCAACACACGCTTTACATAAACGAAAAACCTGGTGTTCCTTCATCACCTCTATCCTTTGTTCCTTTCTAACATCCCCTGCACCCTATCTCTCACTCCGCACCCAAATACTACGAACAATGAACCCAAGTACGTTCATCCAATGAAGCTGATCTCTCTCATAATCCCTTCACCCTAAATCACACTGTACTACCACTCGGACATAATACGATTTTCAAAATATACCGATAAATGTACCAATTTCGTAAACATCTTCCAAATAGACCATTGTTCCACGTTTCCTTCGGTATCATTGCTACTCCGCGGAAAAATCGTTTGAGGTAACGCAAATTGCGAGATACGACGACACGATACCCCATTTCTACCGTCGTGACGATATCTCTCGATTGGCTTGCAGAGACCGCCACGTTGCCAACTTCCGGCGTATCGGCGACTCTGGCGGAAGTCCGCGATGAAGCCACGACGGACACCGTTTTCAGGCGCTTGTCGGAGGTGGACCGAATCCTTCTGGAGAGTTTGGATATCGGTCGTTCCAGGCCCAGGCCCACCGGTCGATTCCTCACGATGCACAAGAGACGCCGTAAGAGGCTTACCACGAGATCCTTAACCGAGGAGCCTGGTATCCTGGACGATATTTTCCATGGCCTGGTTCAGGTAAGCCATTGATCGTGCGGGATATAAACTTTATGTGTGTACGTAAAAGATACCGTTCTCTGGGAACCGTATCGAATGTAATCTACAGTCTTGTCTCTTTTATAATATACAGGGTGTCCCAGGTACGATGCTCCAGCCGTCTAAGCCAAAGTTAGGTGCACGCGTAGTCGGTGAATATTGAAAGTTCATTTTCTCGGCAAGGAAGATTCGGAAGGAAAAATTTTATTCTTTATTTTCGATTTGTTTTTTCGCGTAAAATCACCCCCTCCTCGATTGTACCACCGATACTCGTGTATCGATGGTGTATCCACATAAGCCGTAGCTAAGAGCACGCGTACTCGGTGAATATTGAAAGTCCATTTTCTCGACAACGAAGCTTCGAGTGGACAAATTTTATTGTTTATTTTTGATTTACCTTTTCGTGTAGTGTTATCCTCTCCTTGGTTGTACTACTTGATTGCTGGGACTCCCTGTATATCGTTTCGATATTGCTCGGATTATTGACTCTTAAATGTTGTCGTAGATGAAGTTTCATTCTGTGCGAATTTTCTTTTGGGCTAAGCAAACTTAATTACCGGTGATTCCACGAGAATTTATCGACTATCTATAGCAAGATAACACGGTTCTATCGTGTATTTTATAATGTACGAACGTAACAAAAATGTCACCTTATCGAGTGATATTTATAATATAGGGGATAATTATGGTAACCTTTAAGAGTCAACGAAAGTTGGCACTAGAACTACTGATCTGTAATACCTAGCTGAATTTTTTGCCAATTTTATCGGAAACCCGTGTCTTTAGTAAATTAATTCAAATAATTTATAAAGGTTAATGAAAATAAAATGTTTCAGGTTAGTTATTTTGGTTACTTCAGTAGTTCTAGTATCAAAATGGTACTATGCATCAGTTTGATGGGATAATAGTTGTTAAACTCGATAGAAGGGGAATATTTGTAAGCAAGAATTAATATCGTTTCCTTTAATTAATTATTCATCCAATTTTGTCAATAATGTCAGTCTTTGTGAGAGATTCACCTAACTCGCCTACGAGAAACTCGCGTTACTGTGTAATCTGTTTAACAGCCAAATTAGGAATTTGAAAATTTGCAAGAAAAAATGTAACTAACGGGAAAGAAATTAGGATTTTGTTCTTCTTTAAAGTCATCTAGATATTTAGGTTGCAACGCGGGGAACTAGACTTAGGGAAAACCTGTTTCTCGGTACTTAAACTTTGGTGTTTCGCATTACTAACTGTCCCTAGACTTACCAGGTGATGTCTAAAGTTTAGTTCAGTTATCCATATTACTACCTTTGATCAAACTTGTCCAAAGCTGCTCCATAAATTAGCCTTAATCCCGAATAATCGAATCACGCTGTATCAGTATCAAAGTTAAATGTATTACGTCTAACCTTTAAAACTAGAAATTCCTAGACCTAACCTATAATAGCTAAAATCAGGAATTATCCGATTTCTTAATTTTTTAATTTCTTAATCTTCGAATTTAATCCCGAATAATCGAATCACGCTGTATCAGTATCAAAGTTAAATTTATTACGCCTAACCTTTAAAACTAGAAATTCCTAGACCTAACCTATAATAGCTAAAATCAGGAATTATCCGATTTCTTAATTTTTTAATTTCTTAATCTTCGAATTTAATCCCGAATAATCGAATCACGCTGTATCAGTATCAAAGTTAAATTTATTACGTCTGATCTTTAAAACTAGAAATTCCTAGACCTAACCTATAATAGTTAAAATCAGGAATTATCCGATTTCTTAATTTTTTAATTTCTTAATGTTCGAATTTCCAAGATGGAATCTTTTAATTTCCCGATTTTCTCTCTAATCTTGAAGCAAAATTCTCCAATACTGGAATTTCCGAATTTTCGAATCCTTCGATTCTTTCGTCTTTTTGTACCTTCAGAGGTACCCTTAGAGGTTTGGGATCTCGAATTTTTCAAATTTCACTACTTCGCAACATCTCGAAAATTGATATCGATGCAATCAACGTGAGAAACTTGGTCGAAACTTGGAAATAATTCCCTAACTGAAAAGTAATCATCTTCTCCGGTGACACTGTTCCAAACTTTCTCAGAGACACTGTACATTGTTTACATCGTCGATGTAAGTTTCGAAGAGGATTTCGAAATTCGCGAAACTTGCTGCTTTATATACACTCCTAAATCCTCGATACGAAATGAAAATTCTCGACCTTCTTAGTTCCTTTATCTATCTTACTTTCTCGCAGAGGGAGAAAGATGGCGCCGTCTAGGGGAAAACTTCGAATCCTCGATTCCCTAGAAATAATCCTCGAAAAGTTATTCGAGCGAGAACGGCTTAAAAAAACATCTTCGAAATGCAACTTCGTTGTTTCCTCGTCGTTCTAACTAATAAACGTCGTTGGATGGTGGAAAAATAATAAAAATAATCCGATACTCGTCTAATCGTAAGAAATCGATGATCGACTCGTCGACTGTTGATGGACGACCACGATATTTCTTTTTTTTTTCCCCGGTCGTTTTTGCGCAACTTATTACTTGGGAATAAAAACTGGTTAATTAAAATCGGCATAGCTGATCGGATCGATGAAATCCGAAGTAATTAAGGGACTTAAACTGTTAGGTAATTGAAGCGGAAAACCGATGATAGCGGTCGAGCGACCAGAACCTTTGTGCAATTTAACCGGTTAAATGCTAATACGACATTACTGGTCAGGAATGATCGTGACGGTGGATGAAAGTCATTAATTCTGTTTAGAAGTAAATTTACTCGTTCATTGGTTCATGTTGTCGGTTGGAAAAAGAAAATATGTTGCTCAGACACGCATGTATCGTGGCTAATGAACCGGCTATCCTTTACCATTTTTTTTCTCCTTTTTAAATTTACAGGCAGGTGAAAATCACTGTGCACGATAAAAGTTCGTGTACTTGTGTCATTGTATAATTAAAAAGCAGCCAATAGAAGTACAATTTCTGAAAATGCCTGTATTTCTTCAAAAATGGTAAAAGATGTCGAATTTCGATTTAACGAGTACGGATATCACTCTTACTCGAAGAACGGGAATTTTTCGAGAAAAATAAAATACTATTTTTAATTGAAATTATTCCGGGACGTTTGTTAAAAAGTATAGAAACGTGGTGAATTTTTTTGGTATATTTAGAGCGGTTGAGCTCTCTTTTGATGGAATTCCGGTCGCTCGTTCTATTTGTTAATTAAGGTAATAAAGCAAGGGAGGGTAGGCTAGGTATAATTACAGGGAACGGATGGTGTTTTTTACTGTAACACTTATAAATTTAATGGACTTGTACCCGTTCTATATATACACTCGGGGATCAATATTTCATCTTGTGCTTAATGGCATAAGGGTACATTTAGTAGCACATCCATCGAAGTTTCAACCTGTTCCAACCCCTTTTAAAGTAAAAGAAGACGAAGGCTATCTCGCGTCCATTTCGACATCCTTAGACCCTGGCAAAGTGAATTTCTTGCTAATTTAACGTCGACCTCAAAAAGTTGATACCGTGGTAACAAATTTACGGAATGTCCTCATTCGCGATAATAAAATACACACTCGTATTTTCCCATAACCGATGGAACGTACAGGTACCTCGATTCTCGCCAGAGACGCAAATATAAACCATAAACTGATGATTTTACTCGCGTCATGATCGAATCGTATTTACCACTCGTTACCAATTTATCTGTTATTAAAGATCGGTCGTACTATCTACTACAATCGTAAATTTAATTTTAATTTTAATTTTAATTTCAATTTTATTTTTACAGCGAGAAATTGACTGAAATATATACCTGTCCCAAATTGGCGTTTCAAAAATATTTCAAAAATATGAAAATTTAACTGTACGACTATATCGTGTCTCGAGAGGTCGTGATATTTATAAAATATCAAGTTAATAATTACACCGATTCAACCCCCGAAGCTCGAGTCATTAATTCGGTTATCGAAGGAAACGATAATAAATATCGAATTTGAAAGAAATTTTTCTGCAGGTTTCCTTAAGGAATTCTTTGACACAATGCGCGATTCAATGAAAGCTACCCCTGTATTGTTGCACGTTTATTAAAGCTTGCCATTACTCAAGCGTAGATAATCGCGTGATGATCACGTATTATTTATCGTTGGAAATTACGCGAAGGATTTCGATTAACTGGACCACGTTCCAGAGCCTTAATGATTTATTATATGCCGGTGGAATGGACACGGTTGTTCCATTATGGCGGCATTGTGCTTTGGGGACACGTTTCGACCCTTTCTAGCCGAAACTGTTCGTTTCACCGCTGCTGATCTATTGTGGTATTGATGATTTGTTGCAGTGCGTGTTACAAAAGGCCGGAAACTGGCGATTTAATGCGTTCATGCTGGAAACGGTGACGGGAGGTAAGCAATTAAAAGAAGGGAAGAAAAACAGAAAAGAGGGAAATTTTACTGCGTGATTCGTCGAGGAAATCTCGCGAAATACTAGATTTGAAAATAATAATCGAGATACTGTACTTTTCCGAGAATTCGATTAGGAATCGATCGAAAATACTAATCGAGAAATTGACGAACGTAAGATGAAAATTGTACTCCTTTTTGTAAATAAGCAGTATACATATTTTTGTAAATATTTCGAAAATAATAAAAAAAAAAAAATAAAGATGCGAAATCGAGACGAAAATCGATCAGAAAGTCAATTCAAAATCAAGTGGAGGAATTTATCGATAAACGGGGAATATTTTCTCCATGGTTCGTCATTTTATCAAATTCGTTCGATCGGTAACGCGTTTCGTGCTTTATCGAAAATTGAAGTCTGGCAAAATTTTGGGAACAAGTAGAACATGTATTCGATACGTTGAAGTATTCAATTATAGATAAATAGCGATCCCGCTGAATCCTCGTCGATTTAATTATTTTTAATCTGTTCTAAGCGGTCGACGGAGCGAAAAGCATATTTTAGCTGTTTAATGAAAATTGCACGGAACGTGTTGACCAATCATGGGAGTGATTTGCATTTATAATGGAATTTTCAATTGCAAAGTCGAGGCAGGTTTTTGTTCAGCCGGTATAAAATATTCAGCGAGGTTCCGCGAATGGAGAATGATATAAGTCAATTTCTGCACTGATTAAGATTCAAAATTCATTGTACGATGCGGGCAATATCAAAGTAATTAAATTCCCCAATTTTTGGAAAAAAAATATAGAATATTATTCTATCATTAAAAATTTCAACGCGAAATATATTCTTTTTCCAAGATTTAAATTCTTTTTATTCCGATAATTTACATAATTTACATAATTTTATTACAATATTTATAATAATATTTATTCTTTTAATTATTTATTTAATTATAGATAAGTATATAAACGAAGCTTTTAATACACGATATATTTCACGTACCTTTTATAATATCTATAAAATATTTCGTCGTGTAATTTAATTCGTATTTAATAATTTCTGAATATTTATTTAATTTATTTAATATTTTAATACCGATTTATTTGAGACTTGTTTAATTAGTTGATACCGTAATACACGACGTGTTATGTTTAAAGGAAGCTTTACCGTTTGCACATTTTTTAATGCGATTTAATCACTCGAGATATTTATCGAATCAAGTTGGGATTCTTGCGGATTTTTGTGTATAACGTTTCATTAATACCCCATCCCGCCGCAAGACAATGTTTACGTTACCCGCGTACCAAAAGCTTTAACGCGGTATGTATTTTATAAAGCAAACTGGCTGGTACAACGTTTTACTTCTGCCCCGTTAATGTTGTAAAATATCTTCCAGAGACAAAGTGCCTTCCACGAGAAGTCCTATTTATCTCTTACATGCGACACTCGAACGAGAAATCTCTCATAACGAAGACGTGTGGCCCTTGACTTTTACGAACTGAAAATTCACGGAAAATAAATTCTGATTCGCCATTGCAGCGGACGATGCATCAAAATTTTTGCAATGACGACGTTACCGGAGTCGTAAATTTCAATATAATTTTAACGCGAGATTTACAGCTGTTTTAAAAACAGAGATGATGCCTCTGGAGAAATATACAGAGAAGATTTATCGCTGATGAAAAAAAATTATTGGAAAAATTACCGAAATAATACAATAATTTTACTTTCCTAAAAATCGGATGTTTCATAAATTTCAATATTAATAGAACAAACAAAGACAACGTAGGTACACGACAAGAGAAAGAATAACAAAAATTTTACTTTCCTAAAAATTGGATGTTTCAGAAATTTCAATATTAATAGAACAAACAAAGACAATGTAGGTACACGACGAGAGAAAGAATAACAATTTCACCACTGCTCCAAAAATTTTCCATTTTATACACGAAGAAATTCTCACGTAGCCTAGTAAAAATAATTAAAAAGATTAGCGACATAGTACAAAATAATTCCTGAGAGAATTATTTTCGAAATTACATTTTCCAAAAATGTCAATATCGATGTAACAAAGAGCAAAGACAATGTACGTACACGAGAGAAAGTTTTCCAAGGCAAAGAAATTTTCGCATAGCCTTTGAGCAGCCAAGAATCTGCAAGAAACGTCAGCGAATACATAATTCAACACGGAGTGGTTCGAGGACTTGAGAAAAATTGGATTTTTCAACGGAACTTGCATCTCGATATTAACTGTCATTCGCAAGAAAGGGATCTCGAGTGAAAAAAATAAAGAGGAACGACCGAAAAGCTTTCCTTTTAACGTAACAGTAGAGCCGTGATTTATCATACCACGTGTAAAGCGCGGACAAACGTGCAAAGAGCATTGGAACACGTTGACGAGAAAAGCGACGGTGGAATAAGGATATTTCACTTTTGCAACCTCGAAATCCGCGAGAATCCCCGCGATCCATCGCGATCTAATATTCACGCGAGGCTTGATTTATTTAGCGCGCGTCTGGCCCGAGAGAACCGCGATATTTGCGAGAAAACGCCGCCATCTTCGATCGGCTAAAAATTCCTACGAAAATACAGTATCTCGTGGTTGGCGCGAAATTCGAATTTTATAAGTCGTCGTCGAGTTAACAGCGATATTGGACATAGATAAAAACGATAATACTGGTCACTACCAATCTCTAACGTTGCTTCGAACTTTTTCAAACTTGTTTCCCTCGGTTTCTTTCGCTTTTCTATTATCGTCGTTCTTTTCCCCTTTTCTCGTGCTTGGCGCGAAATTCGAATTTTATAAGTCGTCGTCGAGTTAACAGCGATATTGGACATAGATAAAAACGATAATACTGGTCACTACCAATCTCTAACGTTGCTTCGAACTTTTTCAAACTTGTTTCCCTCGGTTTCTTTCGTTTCTCTATTATCGTCGTTCTTTTCCCCCTTTTCTCATGCTTGGCGCGAAATTCGAATTTTATAAGTCGTCGTCGAGTTAACAGCGATATTGGACATAGATAAAAACGATAATACTGGTCACTACCAATCCCTAACGTTGCTTCGGACTTTTTCAAACTTGTTTCCCTCGGTTTCTTTCGCTTCTCTATTATCGTCGTTCTTTTCCCCTTTTCTCGT